AGAATAAATGTTGAGTAATAAATGGATATTGAGTACTGCCAACAGTAATACGTAGGTCGGGAAAAATATCTAGAGGGTAATAATACCCTCTATGTAATATGTTATATTTTTAAGTAACAATGTAATATACCGATATCAACTTGTTACTGTAATCTAAAAGTATTCAACGCAGTCCTTAAAAATTGATAATGGTTTTTGTTTAAGTTTTATTAATTCAAAGAGAGCATATCAATGAAAATATCAGATATAATATCTAATAATATACAAGAAACGTTAATACTGGACGGGATTTCTTAACGTTTAGTGGATTCATACGTAATCCTATAACGGCCCGATGGCCAGATGTTAACCTAAACGTCGTTAAGCTTTAACGACCGGGTTCCGATACTATCGTTCGAGCGAACAGCCTTAAAAAACGAGTCTCGTAATTAATTTAATGAATCATTTAACTTACTGATTATTCGTAAGCGTATGGACCATTTCCCATAGTGATTCTGTGAACGCACCGTGATTTAGTGCAATTAAAATGAAACGAAAATTAACTATGCAATTAAGGATTAGCGAAAGTTTCGAGACGATTAGGCAACAACTGAACGTACGCAATTCGTGACACTAAAAGATTGTGCATCACTTCGACAATAGAGTACTTAAGGTGTTCGGAAACAGTAAAAAGTTGCAAAAGTCAAGTTCGAGACGATACACAACTACGAGGTATGAACTGCGATAGAAAATTATTACAAAACTTTGGCATTCATTTCGTTCAAAACGTTACCCAATTGCTATTTTAATACCATTGTTTATTGCATGACATATGTTTATTTTAAAATTAGTGTACTGCACTCGCGCGATTTACTTTTATGACGTTGTGATATATGTCTATCGTTTTTTTTTTTTTAATATTTATAGCCGTACCACACGTCCGCACTAATATTTCTGGCATTCTCTCGTTTTCCTTGACGTACGTGTACATATTAGGAGAACGTTAAGTACCTGAACACTTCTTTCTCCGTCCTCTGTTCTTCGCTCCTGTTCAGATGCACGCACGCATGTATACCACGGCCTGTTCCGGACGTAACGCGTCTATCATGTGCGCAAGGTAACGGATAGCGAATACGTGAGGTACCTGACAGTGGCGTCCCTGATCCTTTTCTATGGGGAGAGCAAGGGGTGTCCTTCATACGGGTATTCATATTTATGTGTTTTCCTAATACTATATAAATAATAAATAACGTCCATTTGAAGAAAAAATAACCATTCAAGGAGGGCAACCACCCTTCCACTCTGAGGACGCCACTGGTACCCGAAGAATAATGGCGTTCTGCACAAGTTGGACGGGAACTGCATCATCATCAGTCACGTTCGCACCTGTGGAAGAATTAGTGGTGGGCATACCCGGATTACATGGATTATCCGGATTAATCGATTCAATTTCGCGGTTCATTGACTCATTTTTAAATTCACGTAAAAATCATCATGTGGTCATGCAGTGATAATAAGTTCATTAGATATTCGGTCATGATACTACTGTAAGTCATAGAGGTATAACATGTAATAACTTATTTTGGTTACGAGTACTAGGATTGAATTATAAAAACTCTTGAATTGATGGAAAACATCATATCGTTATTCATATATAACATAATATTAACTTTTTGTTAAATGTTATATAATTTATTAATTTATAGTAATTTATTTTACAGGATATTATTTATTTATTTGTTTATGCATATGACATATTCGACTAGTTGACATGAGAAAATATTAATAAGATCGATAAAATAAACAAATAAATAAATAATATAAAAAGACAACTGATTAACAAGTAATAAAATAAAAGTCCATACTTCGGGTTTCTCTCTGTTCCCATCGTCTAGTCCGTAGGTGTTCTACAGATTATTTCTGAGGTTCTGCATGCCATTTGGGTAATCTGGACTTAAAGCGCAGCGGTGGGTGTTGAAGAATGTCAATTTGTAGCGTCAACGTAGACTGACTCTCTAGCTGATGCAGGATCTTAGTGATGTGGGATAGTCCTCTTAGATCTAGGGGCGCTATGTTAGAGAGGGTGGGTAGCCGTATCGTTTGAGTGGACCCAAAAACAGTACCTGATCAAACGCACATTTTATGATTTGATTGTGCATCGACTTTAGAACATTAGGCACTTCTAGCCCGCACAATTGAGTAGTATTCAGTTACGCTATAAACCAATGCGATAAAATAGTTTATTTTACCGTTGATCAAAAATAATTATAAGTTACGTAAAAAACGAATCCATAAATCCGGATACATCGAAAATTTAATTCGAATGCACGGATATTTGCAAAATTCAAATCTTTGGATATCACGATCATTTTTAAGAGGAGTACACGAGTGCACGTCGCTGGCGAGTCGTTGTTACCGGCCGGAGGCATTGACGTCGTTACATACGACGGATCATTAACGATACAATGATAACTCATCGTTGTACCGCGTATTAAAATACTTGCGAACAATGACAACGATTGTTTTAAAAAACAAAATAAAATATTTTCACCGTCGTTGTTACTATAATTGGTGTTATTATTGCAATTCGTATTTATTAACGGATGCCGTGGTATACGTAACACACACACATGCACGACGGTAAAAATAATATATTAATATTAGGTATATGTACACAATACGTGTACGTTACCCAGAGCCGTATTTAAGGGGTGGTTCTAGGAGATAATAACCCCCTGAAATATTTAAGAGGGCGGCAATATTTTTACTGTTATTCTGGATAAAACCAAATCGATTTTTTCGCATTCTCAATTGAAAATTATTTATGAATAAATAAAATTGTTTAGGTACTATAAAATCATTTATATTATTTAGTAGTGTACAAAATGTATATATATTTAAGAATATTTTATTTGATATGGTATTTTAATGACATATAGGTAGGTATTGGTTTAATCTTGATTTGTATGGGGATGGGTTTTTTTTTTTTTACTGTGTTTGTAGTTATATTACAAAGAGATTAAATTATATATTTAACATTAGTAGTGAAAACCACTGTCGTTCATTTATTAAAATAGGATATATGAATGAACCTAAATAGCAATTATACGTTTATAACATATACAGATAATAATTGTTAGTAGGTAATATTAATACATATTTTAATTTTATACCTCAACGTATTAGAGAAATTCTGAGAATGAGAAAATATTCTCACATGGGTTATGAATAACATACATATATATTAATATAATATCCTCATAAAATATACTTCGTAAAGACTATAAGTTATTCCATCTTGAAATGGACTTAAATTAATATCTGTGTATAGTAGATTCTGTGATTAATCAAAACAAGTGCAAGGGATATTGAAATATTAAATTTTTTTTTGTTAATGAATATTTTATAAAATAATTAAATGTTATTCTTGAGTATACTTCATACTATATTATTTGTATAAAATATATTATAGCATAAATATAAGTACATAATTGTAAGTCGAGTACATTTAAGTGAATAAACTAATATATATATATATATATAACTTAAACTATAACAGGTATATATTTATTTATACAAGCTATTTTAATTAATAGTAGAATTAGGTTTTTTATTTTTAAATGTTATCATACAAAGTATCTTATAAATATGAAAAATATTTTGTCCCCAAATGCAAAGCTTTTCTAGGAGACAATAGTTCTAATTTAAGTAATTATATAATGAAAAATTAAACAAAAATAACAATAACATGATTGGTACATATTACACATAACACTAAGGGAAGATTTATAATTGTCATATATATATATATACTTTTTAGATATTAAATATAAACAAAGAATAACCGGTAGCACATTTAAGGGTGAGAAAGGCGAAAGAGGCAAATTTTTGGAGGTGGCAAAATATTCTAACTTTTATTATTGATATGTTCATGATTTTTTTAATTTTCACACCTCTTTCAGTATTGTTAAGTATTTTAAAAAATATTATTGAGTATTTAATAAAAAAATTAAAAAAATTATACTATACCTAGTCCCCTAAGTATTACTGAAATAGAAAAATAGGTATATTACATTTATTATTCGATAAGATATAATATTTTCGTTCAATGTTTATAATAAAGAATCGGGTACACAGAACGCAGTATTCACTTTAGGGCACATTTAAAAAGTTTACAAAAGGAGTAAAATTATGCATATAATTGTTCAATGTATGTTAGTATTTATAAAAGAGAATAGTTTAGTTATATAAGTGTATATAAATAATATATATAATATAATATAACAAATATAAGTATATCTTTATATTGATATTGCTCTAAGGATACTACGTACTTGGATACTATGCTACTATGTACACTTTAAAGTAATTGTTCAACGGAAAAATCATTTTCTTCATTAAAAAGGGTTAAAACTTATTTAAGATGAACAACGAGAAAAAATTGTCTTGATTAATTAGCAATCATCAATATTGAAGCTGATTTAACGAAAACTATTAACTTTAATGATATTATTGAAAATTTTTCTTCTCGAAAGTCAAGAAAAAAATTATAAGCTATCGATTATTTTATTATATATAATTCATAATAAATATAATATATTTAATCTAAGAAAAACCATGTATTGTTAATCATTGTGCATATAATAAGTGTTGATTCAGTTTTCTATATTTAATTATATTTTTTTTTAAGGCGGCTCTAAACGATTGGATTTTTCAAGGAATATTGACTTTAAATAAAAAAGATTAGGTTACCGTTAGGATATGTATTACTATAAAATTATCTAATACAATATCGCAAAACAAGTGATTTATTATTTGTTTCAAACAATTAATTTTTTTATTGCTTAAGTTTGAAGTTATTTATATTTTTTGGTGAAGGGGAAAGACGGAAAAATTATTTTGTCCCGGGTCGCGTGTATACACAGTTTGACAATATTGTTAATTTGTTAATTATAATTAACAGATTCCTTTTTTTTATACAAAATTAACAACAAAATATTTATAGGCACAATGCCATTGAAAATAATTAAAAATTCTGAGAATAATAAAATAAGTTTTGTTGATATTAAAAGAGCTCAATTTACAACATATGCAAGATTAAATAATCAACTTCAATGGTGAAAAAAAGCTAAGTTATAAAATGTATTATGATATTATGGTTTTGAATATCTTGATTTTTCTTTAGTTTTAGTTAACCATGTTCCAGTGACTGACTCAATTTGACTGACTGTAGTAAGGACAAATTACCTAGATACCTATTATCTAAAATATATACAAATGAGTTAAATATAAAAAAATAATCATAATAGTTTTATTGGGTACCTATTAATATTTTTAAATATAGGCAGTATAGAAAGTTTTTATTGACTTTTAGCTCAAATAAACTTCCAAGTCATTTTGTCCAACAATGATTTTCTTAGAAATGTTTGAATCTACTCAAATAGTCTTTCTAAGTCAGATTCATCAAATTAGTGATGATTAATGATTCTAAAAAATAAAAATAAAATACATAAAAAATTATTTATTTACTTATAATATAATAATTATTAATTAAAATGTTTATTACAATATTAATAGATTTAAAATAACCAATGTATTATCTAAGTGATGAAAATCTTGAGTACAATCAGTTTATATACATTTAATACTCATCATAACTAACATTATATATGATTTATGATTTATATGTCATATTAACTAAAATATAATGAATATTTGTTAATTCGATATATTTTTATCTAATATCAACTGCAATTAACAATATTTGCATTAATAGTAGTTAAATAAAATTGTCATTAATTTCTGATTATTTAATAAATAAACTTACATATTATTTATTTATTTCAACATATAAAATATCTATTTATATATTTAATTACAAGTATTAACCATTTATAAATTTTGGTTTTATTTTATTATTTTATTAAATATATTACATTATAATTTATAATCTCAATGAAAACAACATTACATTTTTTTAAATCTGGCTCATTTGAAGGAACTGACTGCAACGGTTAAATGTGCACGATCAAGTAGTTTTCATGTTTTTCATTTAGATCAAATGTTCCTGTATATAAATAGTAAAAAAATAAAAAACATTATAAATCAATCAAATAAATGAATAATAACTGTAAAACAAAAAATTGTACCTACCAAAATTAGAATTAGTTTTTGTAAATTTTTTTATGGTTCGGTGAACAATAGAAAATTGTGTAAATAAATGTTGAAGAAAGAATAGTACTTATGTATATTCTTCTATTCTATTCTTATCACTGTAGTGTTACTGTGAAAATAACAGTTTATTAGTTTCAGTTATATCTAATAATTAAATTTCAGAAATTAGATGTAATTATTATAACTACTTAGACGACCAATGTTTCACTTACATTTATTAAAAATATACATTTATATTATGATTTTAAGTGAACAATTTGAATTAGTTATTTTATTTAAAATTATTATTTCCAATCCAATATCTTTTGTAATTACTATTCATAGAAAATAAAATAAAATAATAATAAATAACTAATCACACATATTTTGACTAAAATCCTAACATAATTTCTATAGTAAAAATAAATTTGGATAATTATTCTTATGCTATACATAATTTATCATCAAATACTAATACATATTTTGATTTATCAATTTTAATTTTATTTCAGTGTTTTTTTAAAGAAACAATTAATAAATGTAAAATACATAATTTTGTATTTATTTATAATTTACCTATGCAAAGAATTTACCAACAACTAATTCAGCTAATTCAATAATTTATATCTTTCAATGATTCATTATCTTAGATATTAAATAATTTTGAAAAGTCATCATCACATTTTGTGATATACTTAATTGCTGTTAACTTATTTTTTATGATTTATTTTTTTTTAATTTTTCTAGTAAATTGGAATTTTTTCCCAAAAATTAGTTTTCGAATGATTTTTTAAGTTATAATTAAACAATTGTAGCTTAGTAAATTTATATAGTTCCTGTTTATTTTTGAAATAATTGTTTTAAAAGACACAATTTTAATTTAAATTATTATAATTATTTTTGAAAATAATATATTTTTTTTTTAGTTATTTAATCACTTCAATAAAAACCGACCAACAAACTAATAATAATAATATATATAAATACAATGTCAATATGAAAGTTTTAAACTTAACCAATCTATAATTACATAGCCTGGAACTTAAACAAATTTTTTTATTTATGATACTAAATATCATTTAAATTACAAATTATTTTTAGCTATAGTTAATAAAAATCCTTATTGACATTGAATTTAAGAATTGAAAATTAAAATAATTTACCAGTACTCATATATTTTTGAACAGTGTAAATAAGATGTTCAAATGTGTATGTTTATTCATGTTAGGTTAGTAATTCATGTTTAGTTAGTTAGTTAACCATAAGTTAACAATTGTTGAAAAGATATTCTTCCGTAGTTGAAACTAAAACTAAATGCTTCGGCATCACTTTGTCAATCACTACAATAAATAATAAATAATTAAAAACAAATATATATTAATAAATGAATGAAAAATGATAAGAATATTTTAAATACATCTAAAGTATTTAATATTTTAATCTAAAAAATATTTCTATAAATTATTGCTGTATACTGATAATCATACATAAATATAATATAAAAATCCATTTTTGTTTTCAACACAATTATATTTTGAATTTTTTACTAGGGTTAAAATGAAAGTATAATAATTTAAACTAATGTCAATGGTCGGTTTATAATAATAGATAACATTTTGGGATATAAAAGCTGTTAATTCTATAAATTGAACGTATTGATACATGTACGTGTAATCGGTGGTTTGACAAATAGTAAAAAAAAAACTATAAGAAAATGATAATAGAATTATCTAACTAATTAGGTAATGGTGCATAGTATTATCACTATCATACTTGCTTGAAATCGTATCAAGTGAATTTTTTTAAATGTATGTAGGCTTAATTAGAAGTACTTACCACATCAGTTGATCGCATAAATTCCTACTAAATTGTTAATCAATGGGCAATTGAATATGAAAATAACATTTGATCGAATTCAATTGAGTTCTGATTGCAGAAAATGATAATGCGTAATAGCACGGATTCAAACATTTCAGTAGTTAGTCATCCGATAACGACGAAAACATTTATTACTACAACGTGGCCTGGTAAACCTTCGTTGGCTGTGACATCTTTTAAGTTATGACAAGTTACGTATCTTATCGTCTTATCGTATACTTCTTCCGCTATCAACGTACTGATAACACATTTATGAACGGTCGTTTATCGTTTGTCTTCCTTTTTCGCTTTTCCTATTCTTTTCAAGCGTTGCTCACTCCGACCAATGCAACCGTGGTCTGTCGATTTTTTACTTGTCCCATTCAATCCGAATCGAAGAGATTACCAACTCACTTGTTGGCTTCGACCGAGTTGTGTTCGAATACGATTAGTTAAAGTAGAGTAGTACCGAGTTAGTCATTTATTATGAGCTGTAGTTCTAAATCATATTATACCGAATAACCGAACGATATATTTCTTTATTACCCTAATAGATAAGAATTATTGTCGGTTAATTGACAAGTCATTATTTTTTGTCTTAGTTATAGCAATTGTACAATTTCTGTTTTCAGGTATCGTAGTTACGTAATTTTTGAAGAAGGTTATCCTGAAATATTAAAGAAAAAAAGAAAATATTGTAACGTTGTTTGAATTGTTTTTCTTTTAATGTTATTGCAAAAGAGATTAATGATAAATTATTGTTTCATCGTCGTTATTCCTGATTGTATTATGTTCAGGAATTATATACATCGATGGCTAATAAACGATTGATGTCTCGGTATTCCACAAATGCATAACCTTAGACTTACTTCATAAAATATAAAACGACGGTTTTAAAAATGCTCCGTACTCATTACAATACCTTACTAATAAAATGTTCATTACTCAACTATGATTATAAATGACTAAATTAACCACAATAAACTTCATCTGAAACTAATTTTACGTGTAGTTTTATGGTATAATTACTATTTATAGATCATTCTGGCTGATATAGAACTCAACGATTATTTCCCATGGAAATAATAATAAACATTTAGACTACGATCATTTAATTAATTTTAAAAATAATATTAAAATTCTTTAAAGTCATAATTTATCAAACAAGTGCTAATAATGGACAACTCTACTGACCAATCACGTTGTATGGCTAAAAGCGAAGAGTATCCAATAATTTTCAGGAAAAATATTTACAAAAACTCGAATGATAACAAAAACACTGACTGTAGTAGTGATCAATTAATCGTATGGCAATCGGAAAAAAACAATGACGGATATGACACGATATTTGAAACCATCAACTTTAACAAAGTTCGAAAAAATGAAGATTCGGAAGCAGATAGGTTAAATGTTGAACAATGCAGTTGTAAAAAAATATTGGATACCATTAAAGAACTTTTGAAACCAACTTCAGATGAATCCAACGGTACCAATCCATCAAAAAAAACGTCACTTGAAGATATTTTTTGTGACTTACAAGTTGATCCTAAGAGCGATTATTATGGAAAAGATTTTAAATATTATGACTTGGATGAAGAGTATCTAAATACATTTGTTCGAGAATTTAAAAATAATGACAACCCAAAAAGTGAAGCAGATGCGTATTCCAAAGAAAAAGAACTAACGATAGATGAACCCGTGGAACTCGAAGAACTTCAAGAAAAGCCTAAAAAAGATGATACAAAGAGTGACAATAAAAATAAAATTCAAGACACAAAAAGCAGTTATATACACGAGGATACAGTAGAAGATAGCATAAAAAATGAAACTGATGTTGTTACTAATGAAGTTCCAGTAAAATACAAACAAAAAAGTATTAAACGTCGTGTAGGTAAGATTCGAAAAAAAGAAAAATTGCCTTTCAAGCGTGCAATTTATGGCAACAAGTCTGTAACTAAAAAAAACGAAGTACAAGAAAGTGAGTACGACATTAAGTATTTGTACACGTTTGGTGATGATTATCGAGGTGGTTTAAAACGTGGTCATGAAAAATGTCAGGATACTTATAAAGGAATCCCACCGAATAAAGGTTGGATAACGAATTCAGATTTAGCTAAAGTAAGTTATTTTTTTTATACAACTCTGAAAATTGTATTTGCATAAGTAGAATTTAATAAGCAATCGTTTTTATAAAATATTGTTATTATTATTATAGTATTTTTTTATTTATTAACATTATAATGTATTTTATAATGAAATCGTAATAAGTATTTTAACTTCTTATTCAGGGTCTAAAACACGTAATTTTAACACATTTCCTCTCCCGCATATTACAATATTTATTTACATCATATGAAAATTAAATGTTGTACTATCACACGACCTAAAGGGAGCAAATAAGTAAGATATCCACCTGTCGATTCTCCATAGTTTTTTTCTCTATATCTAAGCATTCTCTGTATTGATTATTTGCAGTTATTGCAGTTTTTGCTTAACTTAATCAACAGATATTAGTTATTTTCACACTGTAATTCATTTTCCTAACATATCTTAAGTGCCGAACAATATGCTGCGCGTTAAGTGTACGTACTCGTATTATGCGCGCACATAATTATTGCACTGCCGATTAAAATGCATGTTTAATATAATATATAATTTGTACGTCAATATTGTCACTACAGAACAGGGAGAAAATCAGATTGAGAAAAAAGTTGCACGACGAAAAAGAACTTATTTATCAGATGGAGCTCGCTTTGAAGAATGAAGCTTTGGAAATAAAAGACGACCAATCGAACGCGACGGTCGATTCGAATAAATCCATGAACTCGAAGGGTGAGATTGGAGCTCATGATCACACGAGGATCGCAAAACCATTGCTGGATCTAAACAAATCCAACGGCTTGTACACGATTACTATGAACTCGATGACGCAAAATGATAAATCGGTCGAGCCGGTCGTGTTCAGATTGAATACAACAATGAACAACACGGAGTACGTCAGCTCCAATTCCAGTTTACACATGGAGTTTCTCCCGCCAGCGGCGATGTACGCTGCGCGTCCTCGTGCTAAGCGACGTCACGTTTCTACTTCGTACGATAGAGTGCACTTTCAACTAGGCGAAGAATTGAAAAAAAAAAAAAAACCTGTAGAAGTACCGAGCAAGACACACAAAACAATTGTATAACCGTAACGATAAGCAAATCTAGACGTACGTCTCACCAGCCTACCCCATATCGAAATTGATTATTCTCTGGTATGTAATCTTTAGTACATAATTTGTATGTATTTGTATGACTATTCTCGTCACTTTTATGCCAATTGAATTCGAGTTATATCAAAAATAGAAGGGCGGGCTGGCGAGATGTCATACCAGCCTGCCTACCCCTCAAATTCAAAAATTCACTACGCCATTCAATTGTACGCCATTTGTATGGATTTGTATGAATTATTTCAACTCTTAATGTTCAAGCCTTGGGCGGACTAAACCACTAACCGTTTACAAAGAAAAATTGTTAGGATACATTTAAGTAAAAACACGTTAATTGGTTCGAGTAAAGAAAACTTTAAGTTTATTTATAAGTTATTAGATGTTTTACCTTTTGAGTCTGTATACAAGAAAATAATTATTGCGTATATAATTAAAAACTTTGAATCCTATCTGGATACGAAAAAGGTAATAGATAGAAAAGAAAATAGAGCATTTGATGTTAGAATGGAATATTCTAAAAAGCGTTTGGCCATAAATGTGAAAAAAAAAAATTCCGATTCGGTTATTTTCAATACTTGACTAAATAATAAGGAATTATATTTAACTGTTGTAATTTAATGTTATAGTATAATAGTATTATATTATATAGTATTATTGATTACATTTAAATATAATTCCTTATTATTTAGTCAAGTATTGAAAATAACCGAATCGTAATTTATTTTTTTTCACATTTATAACCAAACGCTTTTTTAGAATATTCCATTCTAATATCAAGTGCTCTATTTTCTTTTCTATCAATTACCTTTTTCATATCCAGATAGGATTCAAAGTTTTTAATTATATACGCAATAATTATTTTCTTGTATACAGACTCAAAAGGTAAAACATCTAATAACTTAAAGTTTTCTCTATCTCGCCAGCCCGCCTCTTCTATTTTTGATATAACTCGAATTCAATTGTCATACAAATGGCGGGAATGGTCATACAAATACATACAAATAACATATTAAAAGTTACATACTAGAGAATAATCAATTTCGATATGGGGTGGGCTGGTGAGACATACGTCAAATCTAGTAAACAATACACTTTTTTTTATTTTATTATTTTTTTTTTTATTTCACTAATTTTTTTTTTATGTTGAAATCACTTGTTGTCCAGTCGGCTGTTTTAGCGACCTATACAGAAGCAAAAGTTAAAACGAATCGCATAAAAGCTAAATCTGCAAGAAGTTGTTTCGTCATGTTTGCTGTGTGTGTGTGTGTGTGTGTGTGTGGGCGTGTTTGGCCGCGGCATTGTTTTCATCCAGCACAATGCCCATACATATACAGCGAATACGGCGTGACAACTTCTTGCAGATTTTGCACGGGGAACGATTTAATTATTCACTATGCAGTCCAGATTCGGCATCCGGTGATTTTTCATCATTTTTTACGTGTGAAATCGTCTGTGGAAGGCCAAAACTTCAGCGAAGGCAATGAGACGAAATGATTTGTTAACACGTGGTTACAATCGCAGATGACAACTTTCTATGATGAAGGAATACAAAAAATAGTACCCCGGAATGATGAGTGTTTAAATAGTGATGATAACTATTTTGAAAAATAGCGTTCTACATGTGTTTTACATTAAAAAAAATGTATTTCAAAAATTTAAAATTTTACACGTTTTTATTGCCCAACGGAATTTACTTTCTTTTTTTAAACACCTCGTACTTAAATTAATGTTGTTTAAATTTTTAAAAAAAATATCAAACAAATTACATCCATCTTGTTTGTAGCACGAAGCAACTTAGTTCGAAATATTTAAGTGACTACGTAAATTGGTGGAATTTTCGCTCTTTTTGAATCCTTAATTTTAAAGTGCTCGTTTATCGTCCAAGGTATGAGGTTTTCATCCGTAAACGTGAGTCTTAAGGTATTATCAAAGGAAAAATTTTACTTAATTTTAACAAAACATTTAACATAATTTAATTTATACGAGAGTATAAAATTCATTCAATTCAATTTATTTTTTAATTTTAATTAAGATCGAAATAGAATACGATTGTATACAATATTAACCTTTTTGATAAAATATATTTTTCAGTGGGATAAACTTTTGAATAATTAATCATTTTTAAGAACCATTTTAAATGAACTTCCAACGTTTATTGTTGAAATTAATTTTTACTGGTTTTTGTAGTAGTTTATTTTCAACTATAACAATGTATTATTATATTTACTATAGATTTATCTATATTGTTATGTGAATGCGTCATATTAATAATTGAACATAACAGCGTTTAGAGTAAAGAAGTGATTTATGATATAATGTTACCCTCATTTTCATGATGCTTAAACGGACATCATTGAAATTATAAAATGCCGTTTGTTAGTCATTTTTCATTCTTTTGTTAACTTTATGTAATATTTAATATTTTAATTGCACGTGAGAGTAGTGTAATGACTCATAGAGACAATTCACCGAGGTCTGTGAGGCATTAAAAGTAACAAGGATATTGTCACTTCAGACGATTTGTTTTAATGCATAGAAATGTTAACAATGTAATTAATGTATATGTCCCTGTTATATTACAATACTATACAAGTCTGCATTTTATACGAATAATTAAATCACGACAACATATTAATAAATTATAATTCATATACGTAGACTATAAATTTTCATAATGATGTATATTATTATTAAATGTATAATTAAAATTATTATACTGGGACGTACTCGTATAATAGTGCATACAATATTATATGCAGGTACAGGAACATAGTGTAGTATTTCATAATACGATGCATGTGAGTAAAACATTTAATATTGATCTTTATGCTTATGAACTAGGTATATGTTTATTTAATTACCTATGTTAAAAGTATGTGAATAAACATGCATTGATAGTGAATATTTTAGTCTCACCAAGTGGCTGTACACTAGTTTTCTAAAAAAAAAGTATTTGAAAGTATTTAAAAAAATCAGAGAACGTTATACATAGGTAAATATGATCATGTACATAGCTTAGCTTGTGTTGCATATAAATGGTTGGCAGCAGAGACTTTAACCAAAGAGTAGTATAGATCAGAAAGATTTTTTTTAATTTTATATTATTACTTCTGACAAATAAATGGATTTAGTTACTTAATTATATTAAAAACATTTTGACTACAATTGATTTTCACTATATATTTGGTGTGTCACCGTGTAATCGGGATGATGCCGCCAATACATTTTTTTTCATATAATTTGTATGTTCTTATAGGACTTCTAATATATTTTATTTTTCAATAACTGTTTTTCCACATTGTATTTCGAACTGGGAATACCTGATGTGTGAAAATAATTTTCGGCACTTGTTTTGACCTGTAGAGTTAGATCAGTTTACGATATCATAATAATGTCACAGTAATGTTAGAAAATAGAAACGTCTAATATTTATTCAATAATAACGTATAAATAATAGTATATAAAAAAAAAAAAAACCTTAATACAATAATTCGCGAGAGTGGTTGGTTCACATACTTAAGGACAAGTACAGTTTGTATTGTTACATCTATTGCTCGATGACTCTAACAATATTTCACACATAAATATAATATTATAATATATAAATAATAAACTAACGGTGTTACGTATTGAAACAAAATAAAAAAATAAAAAAATAAATACCACTACTACAACTACGTGCACAACGAACGACATAATATTTTAAAAATAATACACAGTATACGGATTCGTTCGACGTAAGATGCACACTCGTGATGCATTGACGCGCGAAAAACTGATCTGTATAATATATTATTATCTACTAAAATAATAGTTATGTACACATAATATGCGACACCTAAGTGGACACTGTAAATGGGGGTGTGTATGTGTGTGTATGGTTGCGTCATCGAGAGCCGTGATCCGTGGACACCGCTGTAGTTGCTATATTACAATGTACACTGCTCTGTCTTTCTTCCCCTCTATCGCTCTCCCTCCTCCACCACCATATTATGTGCTGCGGTCACTGCGACGAGTTAACCGTTCAACAGGTTCTGGACGGACCTCAACGCGGTGATCGGAATCTGTAAACGTTTGAAACCCAAAAAATTAAATTTCAAGCGAGCGTACGACGATGGTTTCGTAATGATTAGGGAACGGAATGGTACGCACAAAACATCATAGAAATATGATCCCGAAAATGCTTGAATACGCTACAAAATATGCACCTAAAATTAATTCGTAAATATTATTATTTTTTTAAATCATGTAAAAATGTCGCAAATATTGTAATAGAATCTTTATGCTCGTTCACGTATATCTGTAAACGACTCCTAATTAGTGTTTTTACTTTAAGCATTTTAAAGTAACGAACGAATAATAAAAAAAAAAAAAAAAAATCACTAGACACAAAAACTGCCACAGTTTTATATGTAAAAATATATGCACGAATGCACCCACTGACTGATTGGTTTCTATAATCCCGTCAAGTTCAAATGATGGACTCTATCATATGAATATTTATGTAATTTGTATATACTCGTATGTAATATTATTTTCGGCTATAACTACCGGTATTCGTTTTATCTAAGAAAATATGCACTATAGAACTACAAATATTCGCGTGAAATATGCAAAACAAGGTGAAATGTTAATGTTAATGAACGATCTAAATCGGGGACGATGTTCGTCGGATTTCAAAAATACTTAACCCAATACATGTATGCATACAAATCCGTTCCCCGGTAATGATAATAATAACAATAACGGTGACGATGATGAGATTGTTATGATAATGATAATGGCGAGCGCGACGGTTAAGGTGTATTGTTAATTGCGCGACCGAGTGGATTCCATCACCGTTCGCGCGGACCGCACCGCGCCGATTCTGTCGTCCGTACAACGGAACGGTCCGCGGCGTCAAGGGCCAACTTTTATGTTTGATTTCACCCATTCACTACGACCCGGTCGGGTTCGGTTATTGTTATTATTATTTTTTTCCAACCCTTTCGGTTAAAACAAACAAAATGTTAGGCGTGTGTGTGCGTGTCTCTACTACAACATCACCGCCCGAACACGCAACACGTACGTTGAATATATCGTCATAATTTGTTTTTGTGTGTACCATCATCGGAGATCCGGGTTTCCCGTGACCGGCGGACTCGTGACCGTAATCCGCGCCGGCGTGGGCCGCGGGAGCTTTCACGGAGCCACCGTACGACGCTTCGCCGGCCGAAGAAGCCGACGCGGCGAACGCGGCGCCGCCGTTGTTGTCGTGATGCCCTTGTGCCGAGGTTCCTGCGGAGAAGTAAAACGAACATTTATCAATGGATAAGCTGAAGAAAAAAAAGTAAGTCTCACGCGCTAGAAACTTCGAAACGCGCCTTCCCCCCCCCCCCCAGTGTATTTTTAAATATTTATTTACAAAAATATCGCGATCGTGAGAAATTATTATCAACGATTGCTCCGATGAAAGACGTTGATGTTTTCACCAAATCAAATGCACGACACTGACCGTCGACGTCCTCCAGGGAATCGCGCCCAGGGCGTAGGCACCTCTCGATCCTCCCCTCCCTCTAAACACGGCCCCGGGTGCTGCGACTGTACCGCCGAGCTGTCCACGATCAGATCACGCGACAGTTCGATTCCGAATACGGTGCACTACCGACTATCCGCGGTCTTACGCGGAACGAACCATGTGCACGTGCAAAGAAAATAATGTTTCTTTACGCGACGCGCGTATACATCATTGCCATTTAGGTTGGTTGAAAGAATTTTAATTGCGAATTAAAAATAAACGTTTTTACACAAAAAAAAAAAAAAAAAAAAACAAAAACTTGGTAAATTTTATCAACAAATAAACAGTATAAATATTATGCACGTGCGAGATCACAAGATTCAATTTTTTAATAATTTGAATTTAGCGAAATTTGTTTATCCGTGTGCCACCCTGTTCCGCGGATAGTGCACTGCACTGAGTATTAACAAAAAATCTTACCAGGATGACCGGATTGCATCTGTTGCTTTTGGTTCAGGTACGTGTTGACGGACTGCAGAACGTTGATCGGGATCTGAAAGTTCCGTCGATCATGTTATATTATTTTTTTTTGTTTTAACGTTCGTTATTAGGTATGCGATTTCCGCTTTAAAACCAATACGTGCACGTCGTACGCGATCGGTTTAATACGGTGTGCACGCTGTATAATACTCACGGCGAAAATCTTGTCGAAGAAACCGTTACCGAGTCCTCCTTGATGGGACGATCCACCGGCGGGTTTTCCGCCGTTGCCGTATCCTCCGGCGGCCGGTTTACCCGGGAACCCTGCGGATGATCCGGATTCGCTTGCCACTCCGGTGCCGTACAGACCGGCTCCAGCTCCAACACCTCCTACGCCGTATCCGGAACTGGCACCCAGTCCATTACCGCCCGCGGAAGCGACAGCGCTACCGTCATCAGCCAAAGAGGCGGACGCGTGGAAACCTCCCCATGATGCGCCCACTGTCTCACCGTTCTTGACGGTGAATCCTCCGGACGGAATAATTTCCTGCACGCATACAAAACGATTGTTATCGATAACTGTTGCAATGATCGTTCGTCCGCATCGATTAGATCGTGGATTTATCACGATTACGGTAACAGATCAAGTTCACCTTGTTTATCGTACGTTTATTTTGATTTTAGAATATTAAAACAATTATTCGGATCACCGTACGCTTCGTATAGTATTTGTTTCCAAGTTCGTACGGGTTAAATCACCTCCTACCATAAACAATACCGTTTGCATCGAGACTCACGAGTATAATGTCAAGGCCCGTCGTTGAATTATAATTAGTAGTCGAATAGAAGCAGCGTGAACGACTTAAACGCTTACAGACATCGCAGTCGATAGTTTCGCAATTACTCGCTATTGTAGTATTACCATTACGACACATACGAATACGTGTGATGTGCGATAGCAGTTTTTATTCGTAATTTATTATTTATTACTATTTTGTTAAAAATATATGACTATTATCGTATAATCATTCCGACGCTGTTTGTTATTTATTATTAACATCGTTAATTTGAATGATTACACTGTCACGTGGTAATAATGATCGACGGACGTGGACTAATTTATCAACGGTTCTGATTAATGGAATGTGTAAATCTTCCGAGAACATGTTTTGTTCTGCATAATATCGTTTAGTACATTAAAAATGTGTATGTAAATGTAATGTGGAGGCGCTCGAACACGACGATGCGCAGTAGGAAATCAAGCTCGTTAATATATTTCATAGACAATAACAATAACGATTGCTAATCACAACGCGAACAACGATGTAGAAATATTTATACACATAACGAATAATAATATACTCATTAACAGTGCGTACACACGCGCATATGGTATACACGTATAAGTCTTATAAATGTACATGTAAGTACACAACCACAATGACGCGATATAAAATACATATATTATTTTTGTTATTATATTAATAAGCGCGTCGGTGTGCACGCGACTATATACCGGAACGATACAAGTCTACGTGTATAACTATACAATGCGTCTTTGTAATTATGAAATTTGGAGTAGAAACGGTCAATAAACAGTCAATTAACTTTAAGCAATACATTTTAACATTTTAACTTGCAGTTAGACGATAAAGCGTTGACGTTTTTCGTTATGGAAAATAACTTCTATCAAAAATATGATTTGAGAATACAAATATTTTAAGTGACTTAGTTTTCGCCGTTGTTCGGTTTTATACTGCTGTTATAACACGCGTAGGTATTTACGACGTACATCTATTGACGGTAAGCAGTGGATTCTAAATGGTGTATGGATAATGCGGTCGCTACTCCTTTCTTATTGCACAACTGCGGGACATTTAAAAATAAATATTTATAGTGTATAAATACACGTATATCGTAGATTAACTAACTACCGAATAGATTTGACTAAAAACAAGCCTCTAATACACAATAGTCTGATCGAATTTCAGTTCGACATGAACTATACAAAAACGGGTGGTAAAAATAGTATTTCTTAGGGTACCGATTGTAGTTATCGTGTATTTAAATTCGTCTAAATAAATCAATATAAAATATGTACGGTTTGTTGGAAAGTGCTCCGTAAAACTATTATTAACAATGTAAAATGTTTTATAATCGATTCTAATGAAAAATGCCTCAAACGATGGGGTGCATCAAAGTTTGATATTTGTGGGTGCTGACATGTCTTGAAAAAAGGTTTTGCTCACCCGAGTTGACACATATACGTCATTGTATAATACGAACAACTTATAAGTTTATAAATTAATAATATAACGCCGTGTGTGTATGTGTGTTTGTGCACGTTTGCGCATGTTTGTTCAACTATGAAAATGGTATGTCGACACAGAGCGATGTCGTAGTTTTTATTCATCTTAACGTTTATGCGACCACCTGCTAGATTGTCTGCATGTCGCCCGTTCTGCGTGTACAAATTATGTATACATGTAGGTATTGTTAAACTTCCCCGTGTCATACAAACGATTTCATTACATATTAAACGTGAGCGGCGCATACGTACACGCATACGTACGGAAAACTATTTACGATTAGCATTATGGTACACGTGTATTATACAACGTATGTGTTATTTGCCCGCATTTTAGGAGTCAATAGCCCTATTAAAGTTTCTCTTTTTCTCTAACACAATTTTAAATGTTCACGAAAATTTGAATTTTACCGGACTTAATTAACCGTATTTAAGTAAAACGATAAATATTGGTTTTTTTTTAGACAGTGTACGTATCTATATGACCACCATCAACTGCGAATAAAATGAAAACCTGTTCGTTTTACTTACCAATTGGTGTCCAGTCGACAATCACAACGGAAAACGCGAGAAACAAAATATATATTAAATGTACGTACCAATTACATACATGTTCAACACCTAACTCGGCGAGTAAAATAATAATCTAAAGGTTAATAAGAACTAAACGCTAAGGTATAATTTATTATATTATAAGAACAACAAATGGCTATGGTGACGATTTTCACTGTATGTCTCTTGATATTCGTATGTTACTTATATGTTATTATTATTATACTATTATATCATTGTTATAATTATGAACTTATACGTTTTCTGCGGATTAAGTTTTGCAATTTTGGTTAGGCTCAAACGTACAGGTACCGCGAAATTGCCTTGCAATAGATTACTGATATATACTCACGTTGCTTATGTCTGGTTTGTCGGGACGGGGAGCGGCCAACGCAACGCCGACGATCATAGCGATGGTGAACATCGTTTTGAAACTATTGTTATGCGTCATCTTGATTTAAGTATTGATCGAGTACGTACTTGTAACTAGATTTGACAGCTCTCTGTTTGAATAAAATTGAGTTATAATTTATAAGTAATTTGATTAACGTGTAATTATAAAAACAAAAACAAAAGAAAAATGCTCTCGTGTGAAATAAGGATGCGAATGTTTGAAGAAAAAAATAAAAAGACGATCCAACATTAGTGAAAAAAAAAATCAAATTAATAATATTGCGCGAAGATTTACGAGTGGAATTTTCAGCTAATATTTCCCACGTCGTACGGATACGGATCTAATCGCAAGGACAAACGTGATATGTGCGGACGAATCGTTGACCGGTGACCAGTAGTTGAGCACCACGAAGACGGCGGCGAGAACGGACGCGTAAAGGACAAAGGATGAACGGGAGGACGAAACGGTGGAGCGGAAAAGCGCTTTCGCGGTGCAACGGGGACGTCGAGAAGACGACAACGGTGTTGGACACGGACGAGCGTTCGCGGCCGTCGCCAGGGCTCAAACGCCACATAAACGATACAATTAATCGTAAGACGGATCGTACAACCCTGTTGGATACAATCTCACGTACGGTCATCGTAACGTGTCCAGTGTTGTTGCGCAACGTGCAATACGACGAGTTGAAGTTTGAACGTGGATAAGATGTACCGTACGGCAAACGACGAATCGTAACACGTGCGGACCTCCGTGCGATGGGTTCGATCGATCTAATCATCGTATCGGACCGTTTAGTTGCGACGCTCCCGTACGGCGGTGACGACAACGAGCCGTACAACCTGATAAGTTTGCAGAAAGCGCGCGCGGTACATCGCGTGCTGCGAGTTGGTCCGACTGGCGTGTGCAAGCGGTGTACGACCCGTCGCACGCGACGGATTGGGACGCGCTTCAGGACGGCGATGATGAGTCGGCGATGACCCGTAGACACGAGCGAACGAGGGTTTCGGGGAGAAAGAAAAAATAAAAAAAAATAAAAAATACGAAACGGAAGAGAAGAAAACAAAAGGTTTTTCGACGGGATCGGCGTGGGCAACTTACGTGTAAGGTGTGGGCACGGGGAGACTGAATACGTGGACGCGACTTGTGCGTGGTGGCTGCGGTGTACAATTCGACGCGAGTGAAATCTGTCTCGGGAAAACCGTGTTGCTGTCGCTGCGGTCACACTACTGCTACTGCGCACAGCCGTCGGCCGTCGGACGGTGCTGGGGAACGAAGAGCCGCTTCTGTGCGCGACCGACGGGGCTAGTTTGGAGAGGGAAGGGGCGGATGGGAGGGGGTTGAGCGCGTGGGCTGTCGGCTACTACGTTCGCGGTACGGCACGCGTTTTCCCCGCCCGCTTCGGCCGAGGTCACCGCCATTCGAAAAACCTTTCCAACCTAGCGCACGACCGTCATCGATTATTACATACGAGTTTTGCGCTCGCGTCACGCGTCTCGGACGGGTAATCGTGCTGGTATTGTATGTTCGCATGCGGAAACGTGTTGCGGGCAGGTACGGACGCGTGTCGCTAGCGACGTGCAGCACCAGCAGCAGCAGCAGCAACAACAACAACAACAACAACAACAACAGCAACGTCGACCTGCGATGACGAACGATTCACGTCGACCGGGGGGGGGGGGGGGGGGGGGCGATGGTAGCGAAAAAAAAACCCGATCCGGTCGGTACAGACGGGCGAGTAGGAAAGTGGTACGCGGACGCGATTTTAAAAGCATAATAATACCACGTATGCGCACGAGTTAACGAACGAGGAAACATATCGTTGCATTATTCTAATTATTATTCTTGTTGACTCCGGGATAATGGTGTTCGATCGCGGACACCGTGGGTTCGGCGACGGTCGCGGTACACCTCGCGGTGAGTCCACCGGTAAAAACCGATCCGGCAACAAGTCTTGTAGTTAAAGACCCGGATATAATTGCCTTGAAAATGTCTTGAAATTGCGCTAAAAACATGCCGAAATTGCAATGGAAATTTATCAACGGTTGCAGTATAAATCTGTTAAAATCGTAACGAAAATTACATTAGAATCACGTGGTAAAATCCTATCAAACATGTGATCGTTTATTGTTTAAATAATATTATCGATATCAATATAAAATTTACAAAATGCATTATTTTTCCGAATTAAAATTTATAACTATATACATCTCGAAATTGTGTTCTTGAAAATTGTATTGTCTGTTACTTAAAATATGTTTATATCATGAAAAAGTACGTCCGACGTCTACACTTGTTATCGTTGCGTGTTTAAAATTATTTAAAAAATTTGGTGTTTTATCTAAATTAACATTTTGATTTCCTGGCATAACTTCAGAGTAAGTTTTAATAGTGATATATCCTTCATTTTTTTCTACGACGTATTTTTATTTATCTTTAACTATTTTCCCATTGAGGCCGGGAATATTCATCAAAATATTTTCGATTTCACTAAATATGTTTAAACTTTTAAGTTATTGACTATTTGATTCTTTTAAACTTGTGAGTTTTGTGGATAACTCAGATAAATATAATTTTAAAAGTTCTAAATTTCATTTAATTACGTGTAAAAATCATATTGGAATTATATTTTTATTGTAAAATTACTTTAGAAATATTTTTATAAAAATTTTTATTTTTAAAAATATTTGAATATTTTTAACGCGTGAAGTATGCAAAAAGTGCAATGATCGTAAAAATTGCAAAATCCTTGAAATATTGCAAAAAATTGCACTATTAAATTAAATAGGAAGACTGTAATTAATTCGATTCGTATACATATTTGATCAAATTCGATTTACCTAGTATCAATAAAGAGTTGCAATAACTATTAAATTCGGTCTTTCTTTATAATATAGTGATAATAATAAATATAATACAAACAAATAATAGTAATAATATAATGAGCTAATAAAATTATTTAGTATGTCGAGGAACATTTTTTTTCTTTTTTACAGTATCGACAACGCGTTCTTGGACAGAATATGTGATATTGAACTTTTAATATTAAATATTTGCTCATAGGCGGATACTATTGTATTTCCTTATTGAAATCTCAAACTAAATTATTATTCACATTAATTATTAATTTATATTTATTAATTAGTAATTTATTATTCAGATACCACTCACTCGCTGAACGCTACCCTTCAATAACAACAAATCGTATAAACTTGAAACTTAAGATGGTGAATTCTCCATCTAATATTCTTGATAAGCAATAAAAAAAAATTTATCTTTCAAAAATGCAATGTTTAAAGGTAGAAACAGTTTTAGACTCTGGGCTCAGGTACGTATTTGAGGGGAGGACAACGGGAGCAATTACACCCTCCATAATCTTCAATATTTTTTTTAAATTTATTGTAAATTAAAATGTTTCAGCTCACTAAGTACTGTTACAAGTATTTATATTTGTACAATTTTAATAGTATTATTAATAACTCCTATGATAAAATATAAGTAATAATGATAATATTTCGATGATGAAAACGGTTTGTGAGGATAAGGAGGATAAGCTTTATTAAAAATATATAAAGAAATAGAAATTTCCATTGAAGACATTATTCAATGGTTTTTAAATGAAGAAATTTCATACCGATTTAATGTTGTAAAAAGTAACTGTAACGGTTGTTTAATAAATTTATTATAAACAACAACAAATTGTTTTTTATTTATTTTTTAATATTGATATAATCGCATTCTAGCACAAATGAAAAAATAACTTATGAATGATAAATGAATCACCCCCTCAAAAAAAAAAAAAAATTATAATAAGATACCAGATACGTACCTGTTTGGGCTACCTACATTTCCTCACTTTTTGGTTATGTTACAAAATTATAACAATGATTGCGGATACGGTTTAGACCATCAACATACTAATTGCGGACATAATGTTAATAAACATCATGTGAGTTGTAAACAACATACACGAAAAATATAATACACATTATTTAATTATGTAGGTATTTATTTATTAAAAATAAATATTTATTAATTTTTGTCAAATGTTACTATTATATATGTATAAATTATGTATAGATAAAAATAACAATAATTTTAACCGTTGCTTAAATATTTTTGTGTTTTCAAGTTAGCAACTATTATAATTTTGTCGAAACATTTTGTACGTTATATTAGTGTCCCCAATTCGTATGTTAACTCTGTAGGTTTTATCCGCAACTTACATGTTGCTTATTAACTGTATGTCCGCAGTTAATATGTTGATAACCTAATCCGTGTCCACAATTAACATGCAGTCGCTGTAAGAAAATAAAAATAAAATCTTAATACTATATAGATAGATATTGTTTATTTTTTTTCAACATTTTTAGGTATAGGATTAGTATAATTGATTTAATCCAAATGGTAAAATATCTTTCGGACAAGGTTGAGAAATTCAGTATTATATTGTTATTATTTTATTATTTTGACCGGCAAAGTGAATAATCCGGCACTTTGTAAAGCGCTCAGTTATTATTTAATTAAAAATGTCAAGGTAACGCGCATACGATAGCAATTAGACTTACTTGATGATACCGATAAAACATTTTGTGTTTCCAAATATTTTGTACATTACTACAGTAGTTGAACTGAGTGTCCCATAAAAGTATTACAGCATCTTTGCGAACATTTTGACATTTCGAATTTTTGTTTTTATTTACCTCATGATTTTTAATATTTTGTCTAGTTTACAGAAAAATAATGAAATAAACATAATATTGTTTTAATATAGCTAAAATAGTTATGAACTATATAAAATTAATACCTCGAAATTGTTAGAAAATATTAAGATAAATAATTATTTTTTAAAAAATTTTCACCAAAATATAAATATTCAATTGAAATTTTAATATTTGTAATCTTTATATCGGTTGATCATACAGAAAAAATAAATCGATTATGTATATCTAAAACCAGAATTTGAATATATTAATTTCAAGAGATATCGCAATAGGTTAATATTCGTATCTTTGAGGGACACCCTGTACAAGATATAGTTTCCTAACTAACAAATTGTTTTTGGACCTAGTTAGTTGTTTCATTCTCAATGAATTTGAAGTAAAATATTACGGCTGTTCACCACAACTAATATTGTTGGTCTACCATCGAGCTACGACTATCTAAATCTTAAAATAAGTGTGCGAGTGTACTGAACGAATGCGAGGTCTTATACTGTACAACTCACTGGTATGTTTTATGACTGTACTTATGCGCGGTAGCAGTAATGCTGGTAAGAAACCGGTATATTTATTAATATTATTGACGTCATAAGAAGTCATCCCCTTTTTGCGCTATCATAGAAATTATCACAAAAAATTGTTCCTGAATCTCGTGTTCGTGCAACTATATTTAATTCTTACTACAGTATATAGATTATTATACAGAAATCTATGACGTGGTGATATTTTTGTAACTTATGCAAACAGTTGCATTTAGATTAAGTAAGACTGCACCTGATGTAATTCGTTAAGGAATCACATTTTCTTACATTTTCTATTTAAGTAAAACGTAATTGTTTTTATAATAATTACTTTTCAAATGTAAGTTATTATACAAATTACTTGATGATATACGCGTCGTAAGAGTGTATTTAATAACTACTAAACCCATTAAGATTTTAAATGATAGTGCCGTTTAACAAAATACGAGTATAATATAAATACGTATAATTGAAAACGTTTAAATAATCGAGAAACATGATTTGAAAGAAAAAACATTTTTTTTTTTTTTTTTTTTAATTGAATGATTAACTATTCACTAGCCAGGCGTGATAACACACTAATTGACCTGGGACACTGAGTCGTTTTCGAAATTCGTATTCAATTATTTGTTCTAAACCATTTAGTCTTGGTGCGCAGTGCAGTCGAATCTCGATGAACTGAATTTATTTAGTGACCACCTGCACGATCTTAAACAGCCGTCGAATCAATCGGCTCCAATTTTAAATCCAATCGCAAAGAAATAATATTTTTCAAGAATGGTAATAGAACGATTCACGTATTACCACGAGAACATGAAGTCATTTTTCCACGAATTTTTTTAATCGATCATAGCATTCAAACATTTTCCCACAAACCGGTTGATGTATGCGTGTCCTTGCGTCTTTTCGTCTTTGTCCATTGCCGTAAGGCATCATAGGTAGTCATCGTAGGTTCAATGCAAAATATGAACTTAATTCTGTTGCTTTAATCCTTATTGTTGTTCAGAACAAAACCTACCGGCAAATACGTTTGCTTACTCTTAATAATAATGTTGTAATGTAATTATTTATTCTTCAAAAGAAACGCGTAACGACATTAAGG